TTTTGCAACTTTCGAAAATTCGAGGATTTTAACGAAAACGAGACCTGCGCCAGTTTTAAGCACCATTTATTTCGAGGAAAAAGTTTAATAAAAAAAATTGAGATATTGATGTTTGGTTTTTGTATTTTTTTTAAAAAATATTCTGTGAATTCTCCCAAAATCAAAATATCCGTTAAAATTCGGAGAGCTTCCAGTCCAGCCAGAACTATCAAAGAAAATTAATTTTGGGATAACTGAACGGTTGAGGCATTAGCGTTGACCACAGACGTTTTGCCGTCGACATATTTCTCGGAATCGAGGATTCACAAAAGATGGATTCTGACAACACGTGATATAGAAATTAATTTACTACATTTGGGACAATTTTTATTGTCTTTTTCAAGATCAGAGCCCCACAATACGAGTTTTCTGTTGAAAAATCGCTACTTTCTCCTGTTGCATTGCAATATTTATACTACGTTATTTGTATGCGATCTTTGTTTAAGAAAACTACATTGTTTGAATGTAAAAAGTAAATATTCCTCTTGAGCTCAAATTCAGTTTTTTAATTAGATTTTTGTCCAAAAAACGTAAACAAATTGACCCTTTGCTAAATAGGTGTACAGCTCCTGCGAATCGCAAACTGTCATTACATATACACAGAGACGGGAGTTCGGATCTCTTTTTTTGGGAGGGGGGAGTTGGGCACTATTATAAACATGAAAATATTTGTTAATATTAATGCTTTAAGTTAATTGTGCTGTAATTATATACATTGTTTTCAATTTTGAAATTATTTAATTGATTATTATTGAATGTTATTAATTAGTTGAACACAGAGCTGACTATCCTCATTGTACTTTGAACTGATAATTCAATGATGCAGTTTTCTCAGTGAATTATATATCGATATATCGAATGTGTTTATCATTTATTATGATCACAAATATTTATTCATAACTGTAGGATACATATTTTAAAACCTAAATTAATAAATTCTTTTAATTAAAATGCAATCTTCGGTTTTTGGCAAGATCGAAAGAATTTAAAGTTTTATTTATATCTATAGTCTACAGGGTTTACGTAACTTTAGCACCTCCTGTAGTATCTGAAAGGTTGAAGTTATTGCAATGCAGTTTTCACGGATGTGTACGAGGGAATGGAGCTAATTGACACATGCATTCGTTTCTATTTTATCACTTGTATTTTACAAGATATTGATGTAACTGTTTTTCATATGGAAATATACATATTTTTTAGTTTATCGAGACGTTCCCATAACCTGTTTTTATCCTTAAAAAACCCATTTATCGAGCAAATCCACAAAACGCCAAGCGCCTTTCAAAATCTTTATACCCCAGATCTTGATGAAGGCAAACCTGATAGGGGTGAATTTTTTTTGCGGCGAAGGGTGCGAATCACACTGACAGTTAATAAATCTTTCCAAAAACGCCGGCAAATGTATTTGTCTGTAAATGATGAACATTTTGAACACATTCTCAAATAGACTGAGTAGTAATACAGTGTTTACCTGTATTTACTACATTTTTATTTAATGATTATTATTATCTCACTAGATTTTTCTATCCCTACGTGATTATTATATGCTTAGTACCATTAAAACTGTTTGCTCAAAATGTGTAATATTCTGTGTACAATCTTAATTATTTATTATTGTGATTTGTTTCAAGATGTCATTAATATCTTGTGGTATGTCACCCTATTAAATGGAGTTGAAGTAACAAACAATTTTATTTCAGACCTTCAACTATTAAGCAAGACAAAAAATCTATAAATGAGAAAGGATGGAAAGCAGAGTTCAGGAAAAACTTGCAACAGTTATATGGGAATTTGGAATACGTTTCGTATCTTCAAATACTTCGAAGCTATAAGCTTCACTTGCCCTAGCGCGTTAAGAGGTAGAGCGCTGCGTGAAGCTCGGTGGCGGACAGTTACATTCAAAATATCCGTTAAACACGAGCCAAAAAAATCAAAATTACTCAAAAAATGCTTAACAACATGTATCAACATGCATATCATTATATATAACAACGTGTATATCATTGAATTCACCTTTTTATGCACGTTACGGTGTACAAAAAATAGTTTTCTCCCTTTAAAAAAGGTTACACAGATTTATAGACAATTATCCATTAAAATTGGAGTAAAGTTGAACAGTTCATAAACATAGTTTATTTAAAGTATTCTTGACTGTACACCGTGTGTAGTATAAGTACATGAAGATCCTGAAGACGAAATAACCTTGCAAGTGGATCTCCACCACATTTAGTTGGTCTTTTACCAAAGTGAACTAAGCGATGCGACATCTTTTTCGAGAAAAGGGGAGAACTTCATTATTTACTGCAACTTTATTACTTGAGTTTTAAAAATTGTTGCGAGTTTAAAATACTTTAAAGAATGTAAACTTTTTCATCATAAATAAGTAGTCATATCCCTTAAAATAATAATATCAAATAACGATAATAATAATAATAATAATAATAATAATAATAATAATAATTTAATGTGGCTCAGCTCCCTTTGACATAAAACCAAACATTTACGTACGGAGAGAAATGTTTAGTTCATACAATTAATCATGTAGTAGATTCAACTAAGCGGTGTAGTACATGTTGGAAGAACAAAGTGCTTAGTCACATTCGCGAAACTGCTGTTTAGTTAAACACTATAGTACACGTATAGTAATGTTCGCTAAACAGATCGTACCCATGACGAATGGCATCTTGTGGAGATAACTAAACGGATCTTTGCGTTCACTAATACACTGAGTAATATTTACTAAACACATTGCAGTGGAAATAACTAAACGAAACGTGAAAAGGAATACTTTCCTTCTATTCCTTCAGGCAGGTAGCAACAGGAGTTCTGGAAAGGTCACCCATCCTACGGCTCCGTGCATTCTTACTTCCTTAACCTCGATTACCTGACTGACCCTAGCCGAACAGAACAGTTACGGGCGCCGGGTATCAACATTTGGCCACCGACGGTATTTGTACCATTAGTTCAGAATATAACATGATTATTTCAAACAATTAAAATAAGAAACACGCATTTTATATAGCGTATAATTTTATATACAGTGTTGAATTCTCACACTTCACATGGGCTCCATTCGACTTCGTCAGATGGCTGAGAACGCGCGCTTACTAAACAGTGTTTAGTAGTGTGACGACATGAAACATAGATCTCACTTTGTTTATTCACATAGGATTTTGAAATTTGTCTGATTTACTAAACGAAACTACATCATGTTTAGTGAATCTTACTACAGGAATAATTGTATTTACTACATGTTCGTTTACTAAACATGTTTAGTACATTCTACTACAACATTTCTCTAAGTGTGCGGGGTACTTAAGAAATAAAAGAGAATAAATTCAGAAAAAAGAAAAAGTAGTTTTTCGAGGACTATAAAAAAGAGCCGTCTCAATTACTCAATCATTTGCGAAGGATCTAGTTAAAAACTCTTAGATACTATTCTGCAAGCACACTTAGGGTGCGGAGCAAACAAATAATTTGGCGTGTAAGGTTGACAGATCTCTTTTTTTTTTAAAAAAAAAAATGGTTGTGTCTGAATTGACGTAACGTGTCTCTAAACCCCGGAGGCGTTGAGCGCTTTGGGAGTAATCCTCCATTAATAATCGCGCAATTTATAGGAGTAATACTCCATTTACATTATCTGCCATTTAATGTCACGTCTCGTCACAGTCAGTTGTCAAGAGGACCGCCAGGTAGGATCTCCGCATACGCGGCTCCTACTACGCGCTCCGGCGTCACGACCCAGCGGCCAGAATTGGGAAGGAATTAAGATACGGGTAGGGTTTAGGACACTTTTCAGGGGTTTGACTAGCCCTTGTGAAGCAGCTAAACTCGTTTTGTCGGAACAAATTTCACATGAGATTGTCCGAGCATCGACGGGAATCTAACCTCCTTGGTGAAATGCGAGCGACTTCGCTCTGAACCACCGAGTCAGTCATTTCATATTTCATAATGCTTAAAAAAGAACGGTAACAGGGAAAGCAGGAAATTCACGTTCACTACAGTGGTCAGATCAATTTGAGAATACGCGTAGATTTTTTGAACCCAAATAAATTGGGACAAATACAAGAATTGGACAAAATTTAAAAATGCGATAAAATGTATCAACTAAGGATATAACGAATCTTCCAATCCTAAAGAAACGTTAGCACTTACGAGCATTCGTAGAAAGACGGTCAGACAATGTTGCTTCTTTAAAGCGTGTCGAGGGGGGCAACAAAAGATAAAGGATAAAGTAAATTATATTCTTCGCGAATAGGAAGTAAATCGACCCTGGAAGATATTATTTTGCAAACCGAATGATTTATCTGCAACAGCTCTAGAGCCCATGCCTGAAAGTGTAGAGGGATTTTAAAAGTGGTTGGGAAAATTAATTACAAGAAATAAACACGTACATGCATTTCACATACGATACGTGAGGTTCTCGTCTTCATATTATGTTCTTGAAGTGTGGTCAAGGGGTAGGGATCTCAAAACCAAAAATAGAAATTAGTGATACTGTGCAGTGAAATGAGGCGCAGATTGTAAAGTGTATAGAGCGTATAATAAAAAAATGTATTATTTAAATGATGACTGAGTGATTATTTTAAGCATGTATTTATAGGTAATAATCTTTCTTTTTTTGCACACACAACTTCTAGTCTAAATAAATTTGTATCTTATTTTATGTATATATAATGAACAATAAAATATGTTTTAATTCACCAGATAACAAACCCTTTGTTTATGATGCCAAAATTGATACTATGTCAGTTGTAATGTTGAAACTTATTTACTGGCTGATCGTTGACCTTCAACGATTGCGTGTCAAATGTGAGGAGCTCGGTAACGTGGGGTATAGATCTACTCCAGAAACTGAAGTTTGTAAAATGCATAACACACTCTATTTTAAGTGTATTTCCCAAATATATGGGTAAAGGATTTCTCTCGGTTTTCATCTTGCCCTTTGCTTCCTTTTTACGTTAACAATTTAAACATGTTTTTAACCTGTTCGTGAAGTTATCCTGGTCATCGCGGCTGGTCGACAGCCCTGCAGACTGTGGGCTGTCCTCCTCCAGCGGCGGCGAAGTGTATTCCATAGTGCCGACCGGCGTGTGCATTCTCCCCTCCTCCTACAGAACACACAAAACAAGTGATTAGCGCCAATATATACTATTCTAGCTCAGTTTGTGAAGTTCTGTCAAACATTTACATTTTACATTTTTGCAGTACAGAACCAGCTGACTTTAGGTCGTAGCCAGAATTACCGATGACCCTGATTCTGACTGGAAGGTCCTAGGGTTAGACGGACGCCTATTTTCGGCACTAGCTAGATAGCTAGATCAAATTCAGGCGTTGTCTGGAGGATAATTAGAAAGTCTGGCTGCTCTGATCGATAATTTTCCGTGGTTTCTTTGATCAACACTAGGCGAATGACGGAGCAGTACTACCTTAACAAACGATATAACTACCGCAAGCGATATTTCCTTCCTCTACCTTGTTCTTCCCCCTCTCTCTCTCCCTCTCTCTCTCTCCCTCTCTCTCTCTCACACACACACACACACACACACACACACACACACACACACTTTTTCCAGATTTGTTCTTTAAACTTTTGCGATGGATAGTGAGATAACATAAACGCTATTCTGATATTTTGTTATTTTTTAAAAAAAATTACACTAACATTTTTTTGACTTGCCTCTCACGTCGTTAATGTTTACATTAGATGCAATTTGTTCAAATTATTGCATATACGAGCATATGTGCTTTAAATAATGTCCTATAACGTTTCTCGAATACTCAACAGTTTTCAGTGAAAATGAGATCAAAATTGCGTATTTTCAGAAATACTCTAACACCATTTTTTCAACAACGGTTCCAAAGCTTTTCTTCAAGCTTTTTGTGTAGATAATACTAATTGCACTGTTCAAGATGACATAAAAGTCAATTTTCTGAATTATTTTGTGTCTTCAAAAATTACACAAATGTATTTCTTTTAAATATCTCTCCCGCCGTTCATATGCACACTTCCGGCGATTGGTATATATTGCGGTATTTGTGAGTGGCAGTGCTTTAAACTACTTCCAATAATGTTTTTCGAAACAATAGTTTTGTGGAACAAAGAGCTTCAAATTTTGCAATTACAATAACGCTTGAATGCTATTTTCGTAAAAAGGCACCAAATTTTTCAACGAAAATGTCCACATAGGACGAGGTTTTACTCTTCAATAATATTCTTAAAGTCATTTTTCGGTTCTGCCATTCGGAAAACGAAAAATTGAACAAATGTGAAAAATGGCGGCGGTAGATGGCGGCTGGCAGGAGGATGGGGCACGACCTAAAAGCTATCACCGACCAAAAATATTAGGAAACTAGTACGAGAAAGTCTGCGCCATTCTATTGCACAACTAGTTTCTTTTTGTTTTTGGGCCTAGAACCTTTCGTGGCATCTAAAACAAAAATCGAACATAAGTTGTAGTGTATGTAATACGAGCCCGTTTAAGTTTGGTGCTCTTATACACATCATAGTTCGGGTCTCATTTTAGAACCTTCGCCATATTAAAATTCTGCAAAATAAAAACGGTCTTGATAGTTCGAAATAACAGATTGCAGGCATAAAAACAATATTTTAAGCATATTGTACTTCATTCGTTAAGAATTAGATTCGATCTAAGGAAACTCAAACTATCATTAAAAGCCAAGGCTTGTAGAACCGAGAAAACACGAACACCTCTGTTTCACATCATCTCTTATTTACAACTGAACCACAGAGCTTCCATGACAAAAGGAGTCATTAAACTAGATGTTAAAATCGTTCCTGGTAGAATGTTGTGTGAAAAGATACCAAGAGAAATATTATAAAAATGGTTCATATCACCATTTACCTATATCTATAATAAACGGGAAATACTCTTCTTTTTGAGAGTTAAAATTTGAGTGTTATAAATCATGTCGTTAGCCACGAAACTGTTTCATTTCCAAGTTAATAACGTTTAGATAAATATACAATTACAACGCGCCAATTACAATTCGTGTAACATAGTGCAAGTAGGTGTGTGTACGTAAGGGGTGAGAATAAGATTTATTAATAAAGGATATTTAAATAACACTGCACATTCTCGCGTACGTTTCGTAATACGAAAGTACAGGTTTTGTAATAACTAAAGCTCACCAATTGATTAATTCATATTAGCTCAGCTTAATACAATTATTGTTCATGTAACTATTATATTATTCTCAAAATACAGAAACAAGTAAATATTTTATATATAAATGTGGAGATTCGGGAAATGAAATGTTTAAATATAATGTGTTTTTTAAATTGGTTCCATGAATGGTGGTGGGGGGACTGTTGCCCCCGCCCCCTGAATCCCGCCTCTGAATACATGCCCCTGGTCTCAGAATAAAGATGTTATCAGATCACAAGCGGCCTTGTCGAAATCCCTGTTGTTTATTTAATAGGTGAATAGGTGTCCTTCACTAATGGTTTTTAATCTATTGTTTAGGATTCTGGCGTATACCTTTATAACCGGTATTGAGAACACTGATTCCTCGGTAGTTTCCAGGTTCACTCCTATCTCCTGTCTTAAAAATTGGACTTAACTCCTGCAGTCATCCAGGTTTAAGGGGAATTATTGCATTTCCCAGTGCATTTACAGAAAATGTAACAATCTAAGTTTAAAGAAAATGCTACTGTACTTAAATAGTTCTGCATTCAACACCTTCGTTCCTGGTGCTCTTCTATTCATTTTTGTCACAGCTGTTCCCGTTGCGTTCATATCGAGTTTATCTGTACCTTCCATTATCTTAAATTTGGTATAAATGTCCTCGTTCGAATCATACCACAATTCTAAATAATGTTGTGCCCACTTATCTTCTTATCTTTCATGTATTCATTCTGACAGTATCTCTTCGTGGCTGCTCAAGTTACGAAGAAGTTTGTAGGTAAAATCTTGTAACCCATAAACATCATGTTACTTCTCAGAATGTAAGCCCTCCTTAGATGCAAAGTTATCCTTCTCAATGACCAAAGTATACCAAACTTGAATAGATAGCCTGCTCTCTATCACTCCCACGTCGGAAAATGTAGAAGAAGAATGGAATAATATTAAATCATGTCTAGAGCAAGATGGAAATAAAGCCTTGGGTAAAGAGGAGATCTATAGTAGGAGGATGGGTCTCAGAATGTGGAACGAAGACATCATAGAGGCATTCACTATAAGAAATGGCTACAGAAAAAACAGAGGAAAGTAGGGAAATATATAAAAGAAAACGTAACACTGCTAAAATTGTTGCCAGGAATTCTCACAGAGAAAGCTGGGCAAACTTCATAAGCATGATGATTTAATTTTCACATGTATTTTCCACGGGAGCTTAAAATTCGCACCAAGTGAATTTTATATCAATAAAAGAAAACATTACCAGTCCGTCTTGAATTATGTAATGTAAACGATGAATACTTCTAATGCGTATGGCGGGCACATACTAACCAGTCATAAGAACATTCCACCGTAACTTTCCCTCACTAGGTTTTGTTCTTCCATTTTTTTCCTTTTTTTTTATCTTGCCTCATTTTTATGTATACGCAAATATTTTAATTGCAAGTCAAATCGGGATAGATTTTGCAAGAATGTTGGAAATGGTGGAAAAAAAGTGGAAAAGATTACATCATCGAGCTCAGAATATCAACAGAAAAAAGGATTATATCATGACAGCTCATATTGTACAATAGAAAGTGGACGGAATCACATACGTAAATACTAGCAGTATAATAACCATCACGATTCCGTATTCTTAATGCAAGACATGTACATTTAATAAAAGTGCACATTAAAAATTAATCATACTGTGCATAAAACTGTATTACATTATTTTCAAAGCTACATCATAATGCATAAAAAGTCACATTTACATTTATACATTTGAATTTATCGTTGTAGCTCTGATCATACCTAAGAAAGCTACCGGGAGAAATGGCTCAGGGCATCAGCTGATGTCACTGCAGTCTATCTGACCTAGTCAGCTAGTCACCTAGGTGGAATTCAGTCGCTGTCTGGAGAAGAATTCTGGCGGCTGGAGGCTCCGATCGGTAGTTTTCCGAGGTTTCTCCGAGCAATACCGGGCGAATGTCGGAGCAGTACCCTAACAAACGGACCACGGACCGCGCGCGATCTTTTCCTACCTCCCTTACACTAACACGCACTACACAAGCACACATGCCGGGAGACCGGCCGGGAGCTTAGAGCTTGTGCCGGCTAGGGCGGTCCACCACTGGTGGGAGATACCTGGTTAGGAAAATTTGCAAGCCGACGGTAGGTCGGCGCCGGATCTCGCCATATAGCGATGAAAATATCTCCGCCATCTCCCAAGCGAAAACACTCACGAGACTAATGAGCATTGTAGTTGTCGTGCACGGAATCACTAAAACAATCAATTAGAAAGCTTATTTTTCACATAGAAGCTTATTTTTCACATTTTCACATAGTCAGAAGAACAATGAGGCAAGAATATCCGGCGCAAAATCACAGATAATGAATTCAACGTGAACATTGGAATTTCCGATTCGCGTAGCGAGGAGAGAATTTATCTGGAAATTTCTAATGCGCGAGTGGCATTACCTCCAAAAGAATGCGCCAAATATTGATTACATTGTGTTCGCGCTCCAAGTGCACACGACCGCGAGTCCCACATTGATGTATCGAATCTTGTGTTCGGACAGCAGGAGTTGGTAAGGAAAAGCAATAAGGTTTGGGCTGGTGCATACAGATGCATAGTTTAAAGCTATTTGTGTTAATTCCACGTGTGAAATAGTAATTTCTAAAGTATTGTGGCAATAAAAGTTCAGCTTTCTCCTCTCCGAAGACACTCGGGAGGTATATTACAACCTCCGTATACCCAATTAACAAGTCAAAATTGCAAGGACCATCGCTGCTCTCAAGGCATGGATATTATTTGATTGCGACCTTCACAGATAATGTTAACAGATTTCTAACAGACGTAAACTATTTTAGAAGGTCCTTAAAGAGATACAATCAGGTGATTCAAAGTCCAATGCTCTCTTTATTGTCAATATGTGAAGTATAACACCAACGTAATGTGTACGAAAGTAAGAGAATATCATAGAACCTAT